TAAAAATACTGATTTTAATTAACATGAATAAATATATTTTAAAATATAAAATGAAATAAATTTAAAAAGTTAATTGTTCATATTAATATGTATTTAATCTATTCATTAAATAATAAACTAAAAATAAGTTTCAAATTTTTCTTGGATTTGAATTAATTTTGAAAAAGCATTGTCGTAAAAGTAATTGATACTTTTATCATTTTGTTTTTTTAAAGTGAAAATATTATCTCCGTTTTTACAAATGAGAAAATCAGCACGATCATTTTTATGAAAATCATTTCGCTTGATATCTACCCACCAACTAAAAAATTTACAGTTTCTTCTAAAACAACTTATAAAAAATCTTCCCAAATTTTCAGTTAGTTTTTTTACGTGTCTTAATCTTGCTCTAACATTGCAGTTACATAAAATACTATGGGGAGAAAGTACTGTTTCAAAATCATTATAATAAAGGCAAAAAATATTTTCTTCCGTTTTTTTATATTCTTTGTATTTGTTAAAGAAAAAAAAATATTTTTTTAAATATTTAAGTATGGGAAACACACTTTGATAACATTGACGATTAATTAAAAAAAATGATTTAATGTTGGTACATTTTTTCATAATCATCAAGTTTAATTCCGCTATTTCAAAAACTCTTTTTGCTGCCATTTTTGTTTAAGAATTTTAAGTCGAGTTGTTTAAATATATTTTTTATTTTAATCTAAATTTTTTAAAAAAGAAAGTAGTTTATTTAATCTAATTAAAATTATTAATATGCTAAATTCGGATTTTACGAATTTGGAAGTTTATTGAAACAATGAACTTCCATATTTGTATTTTACGAATTTGGAACGACAATGAGTCTTTTGATTTTCTAATTCGTAAAATACGAATTTGGAAATAATTAATAATTTGATAAATCCAAATTCGTATTTTACAAATTTAGAATTAATTAATAATTCGATTGAATTTGAAAAAAAAATAATTATTCTAAAGGTTCATCTTGCAGAAAAAACTTAGAAAAAATTTGACACAGACCATTTCTCAGCTATAAAAGCTGAGCTTTTCACCTCATGAATACAGCATCGAATCTCAGGATTTGATAACGAATACAAAAGTTCTTTGAACTGTATTCAGAAATAATAATTTAAATTATTTAATAATAATTAATAAATTATTATTTCAAAATGTCTATTACAAGAGATGTACAAACGAATTTTTCGAAATATTCTCCATTGCGATGGAAAGTATTTCATGAATCGTTTGTGACTCGTAATAGCATTTCTTGGCGAAATATTGATTTTTTACGGTCATATGTTATTAAATATGACAAACATAATTCGAAAGAAAAATTTGATATGCTGCAACATTCTTTGCACATTCCTTTTAATAAATTTTTTATTTGTAAATGTGGATCAAATAAAACAAATTGGCAAAAAGAAGCGTATCGACGAGAGTTTCAACCTCATCTATGGTATTATGATAAACGTCATCAGAGATCTTTTTGTTCATTTCGACGCAGATGTGATTATTTTAAGCTTCTTCAATCTGTCAACAAATCTCTTCCTAAGAACGAACGTTTAATTAACATGAATAAGAAAGGTTCTTTGATGAAAATTAAAAAGATATTTTGCACTATAAAATTAGATTATGATATATATCTTTGGGTTAAAAATCTTAATGATACGACGTCCACCATCTATAAACAGAAAAGTGAATTACTTCAAAATTTCAAGAAATCTATTTTTAAGCGAGCATAAAAAAAGAAAATAAACATATCCGAAATTAAACTGATTGTCAAATCGCGTTTAACTGCTCTTAATCGATCCCCAGAATATCATTCTCAATCTCTAAATTTCTGTTCAGTATAAATATACCGGACAGAAAATTTTCTGTTCATCTTTTTTTTTTGTTTATTACAACTAAACATGAATTCTCAATTATCTTATCATTTTAATCTATTAATTTCTGCCGTTATCAATTTTCTTATTTCAATTAATAATATATATTTTCAACATTCTCATTCAACATCTTTCACAAATTTACTTGATATTGATATTGAACAACCTCCGAATTATACGTTAAGATATGAATCTATTAATGATTTTCTCGAAAAGAATCGAAATATAAACAAATATGAATTTTTCTTAAAAGCAAATGATATCGATCGTGTTAATACGAAACACCAATATGTCTACGGTCTTAATGGTGGATCTTGTTGGAATTGTTACAACTCTTATTCACATGAATATTGTGCGGCATGAAAAAAAATATCATCACAATGCCGATGTGTTTATATATGTGGATACACATTTTCTGTTGGTCAACAAAATAAGAATGGTATACCTACTCAATTCAAAAAATGTAAATTCTATATGTCAGATATTAATAACATTGAACATGAATGTTTGGGTGTTGTAGATAATGATAAATTTGTGACGTTATTTAAAAATGAACAAGATGTTCAAAATTTTTCTATCAAATGTTGTTAATTTTCTATTCTATATTATTA